AGGTGCTGGAAATCTGAAATCAATAAAACAGAAAAGTGCTGGAGAAATTCTGCAGATCTGGCGGAGAGAGAAACAGAGTTAATCCCTGGCTTATGAAGAAACAATCCATGTCTGCTTTAAAAATATTTAAGGCTCTGATTTCACCACCTTTTTAGGAAGAGAATTCCAAGAACCCTCAACCTTCTGTGAGAAAAATAATTCTTGTTATCCATATTTATAAACAGTGATTCCTGATTTGTAAACAATGGTCCTTGGTTCTCAATTCTCCCACAAGAGAAAACATCCTTTTCAAATCTCTCATGTCACTACCACTCAGGATCTTATATGTTTCAATCAAGTCACCTCTTATTCTTCTAAACTGTAGCAAATACAAGCCAAACTTGTCCAATCTTTCCTCTTAAGACAACAAATTTATTTAAAGTATTGATCTGGTAAATTTTTGAACTGCCTCTAAAGCCTTCCTTAAATAAATAACAATATTGTACATATTGCTCACTCATGCCCTGTATAACTGAAGTATAACCTCCCTACTCTTGTATTCAATTCCCTTTGCAATAAATTAATAATTCTATTAGTATTCCTAATTACTTGCCATACTTGCATATTAGCCTTTAGTGATTCATGCACAAGGATACACAGATCCCTCTATGTCTCAGAGTTCTGAAAAGTCCTTTTCATTCTTCCTGTTGCAATTGACAGTTTTGTATTTTTCAATGTACTAGTCCGTTTATAGCTCCTTATTTCCTCTTTACAACTTACTTTCCGATCCATAAAACTCATCAGAAAGTTGCCCCTTGGTCTAACTCTTTTATACATATTTTAAAACATTGAAGCCTCAGCACTATCCCTGTGGTAGACCACTCACTGCAAACCACCAAGTAACTCATTTATACCTACCCTCTGCTTCCTGTTTAAAGCAGCCAATCTTCTATCCATGCTAATATATAACTATAATTATTTTGCACATTAACTTTTGATGCGGCATCTTATAAAATGCCTTCTAGAAATCTAAGTACATTATATCCACCAGTTCCACTTTCTCTGCAGAATGGTTTTCTCCTCAAAGAACCCCAGGAAATTGGTTAAACATGATTTCCCTTTTACGAAACGTTGTTGATCCTGACTGTTGTAAGTGCTCTGCACTTTCATATAGATTCTACCATCTTCCCTAAAGCTAACCGGTTTGTAGTTTCCTGCTTTCTGTTTCCCTCCCCTTTTGAATAAACACTTTAATAAGCACTTGCTATTTTCCAATCTGGTGGAACTTTCCCTGAATCTAGGAGTTTGGAAAATGTACACTAATGCATCAATTATCTCGCTAGACACATCTTCTAAGACTTGAGGATGAAGTCCATTAGGACCTGGGCATTTGTCTGCCTGCAGCACCAACAATTGGCTCAGTACCACTTTCCTGGTGAATCTAACTTTCTTGAGTCCTTCCCTCCCTTTCATTTCCTGATTTGTAGCTACTTCTGTGATGTTACACATTCTTCCACAATGAAGACCGAAGTAAAATATAGATTCATCAGCCGTATTTTATTTTCCAAAGCCAATTTAACATATTCATTTGCTATTGGACCAACGCTCAATTTGTTAACTCTTATCTGTTTAAAATATCAATAGAAACTCTTCTGACTGGTTTTATATTTCTAGGCAACTTTCTCAGGTTTTCTAATTTTCCTTCCTTCTTTGCATTTCTAGTTAAACACGAATGGTGGGTCCTCCATTCAATGTTTTCTTCCTTGTTGAAATGTATTGACTCTTTGTGTTCTAAAATATCCCTTCATGCATCTACCTCTGTCTCTTTGTGGACCTATCCTCTAAACTAATTTGCCAGTTCACTTTAGCTAGCTCTACTTTCATGCCCTCTTTAAGTTTAAAATACTAATCTTGGACCCACTCTTCTCTTCCTCAACCTGAATGCAAAATGCAATCATTTTAGGATTGCTGCTACCTAGGTGTCCCTTCATAATAAGAGCTCATGAATTAATCGGATTGTGTTGCACAGTGCTAAGCCTGTACCAGCTCTCTGGTCAACTCTAGAATATGACATTTGAAGAAACTATTCTGGTGCATTCAGTTACTGGCAGTTCAGGTTCTGGGATTCCGTCTATGCATCTCTCCACATCTGATGGCCTAGTGGTGTTATCTGTAGACTGTTTATTCCAGGAGACCCAGGTAATATTCTGGGGACTTGGGTTCGAATCCCATCACGGCAGATGGTGGAATTTGAATTCAATAAAGTATCTGGAGTTAAGAATCTAATGATGAATCCATTGACTACATTGCTGATTGTCAGGAAAAACCCTCATGGTTCACTAATGTCCTTTTAGGGAAGGAAACTGCAATCCTTACCTGGTCTGGCCTACATGTGACTCCAGACCCACAGCAATGTGGTTGACGCTTAACTGCCCTCTGGGCAATTAGGGATGGGCAATAAATGCTGCCTAGCCAGTGACACCCTCATCCTGTGAATGAACAAAGAATCTTAACCTGATTCCCTTTTCCTTTAAGATGCTCCTTAAGACCTGTTACATTGACTGAGCCCCTGGTCCCCTGCACTCTGATCTCGCTACGTATTTGATCATGTTCCTGTGAAGCACCTTGTGGTATCTTATTGAACGTGATGTATAAATGCAGGTTGGTTGGCTACAAACAGGTCCAGGCTGTGGGCTGTGGAGGGGATCATCTCTGGCGATTGTCTGCTCCTCTTCTGTAGCTACGTTTGAACCCAGTGTTATTGGGCAGTGCGGGGTTGGGGGAGCATACAGTGTCCATCAATGCTCTCGCTGTCTTTAGAGAGAGGCGGGCACTATGGGCAATAGAGTGCTTTATTTCTCCCCCTTCCAACTTCATTTTGATTTAGTCCTCTCTATCTTCTCCTACTCCCTCACTTTTTTGATGTCAGTGTTGCCCTTAACAGTCTTTGCTTGTGAATATACAATTGGCCACACATATATATAAAACAAAGTCTATTCACAACGGTAAAAAAGACACAAGTTGGTGCTCTCTTGTTGAAGAATTCTCTCACCATTTAACAAAAAGCTTCTATCCTCAGTATTCCAGAATACACTGAGTGTAATGTGGAGCTGAAGTGGTTCAGAGATAGGGAGGAGTGAGGCCACGGAGTGGTTTGAACACAAGAATCCAAAGGTCAATGGATGAGGAATGGCTGAAGGTGGAAGAGCAGTGGGAAATCAGAAAGAACTGTGGCTGTGTCCCAGTCAGCGTGCAGGAGGTTAAGTGGAATGGAATAGTGAACAGGGAGTGAAATCATCAGGAAGTGAGTGGGATCAGGATTTACAAGGAAGCTCTCATTGATATGACGGGTGGGAGAGAAGTGAACCTTGGGGAGGCCTCAAAACTGTGAGGGCACAGCGTGGAAACCAGAAACTGCAGTAATGCAATTTAAAACGTATGTTTCGATTGTAATGTTGCAAGTTATACAAGTTACTTCTGCTTACACTTGACTTCCTAGTCTTCAGCCATCTTCCTTATTCTCACTCTGCTACTTTTGCTTCAAATTGACACAGAATCACAGAACAGTCACAGTGCAGAACAAGGCCATTCAGCCCTCACTTACCACCTTCTGCTGCCTACCCTGCACACATTCTTCCTTTTCACAAAGAACCATTACATTCCCTTCCGAAAGACTCATTGACCCTGTCTCCGCCACTCCTTCAGACAGCACGTGGGGAGGTGATGGCCTAGTGGTATTATCACTGGACTGTTAGCCCAGATATCCAGATAACGTTTTGGAGACCAGGGTTCGAATCCCACCACGGCAGATGATGGAATTTGAATTCAATAAATTTCTGGAATTAAGAATCTAATAATAAACATTGTCAATTGTTGGAAAAACTCATCTGGTTCACTAATGTCCTTTAGGGAAGGAAGCTGCCATCCTGACCTGGTCTGGCCTCCATATGACTCCAGACCCAGAGCAACGTGGTTGACTCTTAACTGCCCTCTGGGCAAATAGGGATGGGCAATAAATGCTGCCTGGTCAGCGACACCCTCGTCCCGTGAATGAATAAAAAAAAAATTCCAAGTGCACTCACTGCGTGAAAAAGATTTTCATCTGCTCATTATTGTTTCTTTTGCTAATTACTTGAAGTCTGTACAATCTCGCTCTCAATCATTCCATGAGCAGAAACGTTTTATCCCTTTTTACTCTGTCCAGCGATCTGATGATTTTGAAAACTTTAATCAGATCTCATCTCAGCCTTCTCCGAGGAGAACATGATTCTGTTTAATCTAATCTCTCCATGTCTCTCTCCTTCCTGTTTGCATGAGATGGTGTGGGTTTGAGGTCTAAGGTTTCAGAATGCTCAACCAATTGCCAATAGGTTTACTCTATCAGTGTAAGACCATAAGACTATGGTCTGAAGTAGACCATTCAGCCAATCGAGTCTGCTCCTCCATTTAATGAGATCGCGGCTGATCTGATAATCCTCAGCCCCACTTTCCTGCCTTTTCCCCATAACCCTCAATTCCCTTACTCATTAAAAATCTGTCTATTTCAGCCTTGAATATACTTAATGATACAACCATGACAGCCCTCTCCAGCAAAGACTTTCACGGATTAACTAGTCTCTGAGAAAAGTAATTTCTCCTCATCTTTGTCTTAAATGTGTGACCCCTTATTCTGAGATGATCCCCTCTGGTCCAAGACTCTCCCATTAGGGGAAAAAACCTCGTCCCATCCCCGCCGTCAAGTCCCCTAAGAATCTTGTATGCTTCAATAAGGTCTCCTCTCATTCCTCTAAACTTCAATGAGTACAGGCCCTCTCCTCATAAGAGAGTTCCTCCATCCCTGGGATCAGTTGAGTGAATCTTCTGGACTACCTTCAGTGCTAGTCTATCTTTCCCTGGATAAGGAGACGAAAGTTGTTCACAGTATTCTAACTGTGGTCTGACTAGTGCCTTGTACAGTTTTAGCAAGACCTCCCTATTTTTATATTCTATTCTATTTGAAATAAAGGTCAATATTCCATTAGCCTTCCCCATTAGCTGCTGAACCTGGCTGCTGGCTTTTCGTGATTCACGGATGAAGACTCTCAAATCCCTCGGTTCTGCAGTGTTCCGCAGTTATGTTTGGTGTTAAGGACCCTGTCCATCAGGTAAGGGACAAAGCCCGTAGGCCAGATGGCCATTCACAATATCCACAACGCTGTATTCTTCACCCATGAAGTCAGAGTTCCCTCTCACACACACTCATTTCTTTGTCTAGAGTTTACAAAGGTCCAAAGTTGGGCCTGGAGATAAAACTAAAAGGATTTTACAGATTGTGCAGGAAGTTATAGAAACGTAGGAAATAGGAACAGGAGTAGGCCATTCAGCCCTTCAAGCCTGCTCTGCTGTTCAGTATGATAATGGCTGATCATTCAACTCAGCCCCCTGTTCCCATCTTTTCCTCATACCCTTTGATCCCGTTAGCTCCAAAGTTGGACTGAAGGGTCTGTTTCTGTGCTGTAAGACTCAATGAGTCGATGACCCTGTAACTATATCTTTTATGGAAACATTCAATTTTTTGGCCTCAACCACTTTTTGTGGTGTAGAATCCTACAGGCTCCCCACTCTTGGGGTGAAGGAAATTGCTCCTCATTTTGTACAGTTCTTCTCATATAATCGAGTTTTTAACGGATCACTGCTGGTTGAGTTGGGGTTGAGTTTTCAGGGATAAGAATAGGTGGGTTTTGGTTCAGCTGGCTAAGGGCAGGATGTGTTAACAGTGAGCAAACTGAAAATGTAGCAGCTGACATTAGCCAATGGAGAAGCCAAGATGCTTATTCCTCACTTACTGTACAGCTGCTTTCGGCCACTTGTGTGTCTGCACTCAGTGGGTGAGACCTCGCTGTGAGGGAGGTGAGGTGGTGGGGAGGGGTAGTAAGGGTGTTAGCTGCATTGGAATAGTTCCCTAACACATTCCCACCACTGGGGAGTATTTCCAGCGACTTGCTGAGGGTGATGGAGCAACATCACTGTTACAGAGACAGGGAAGGCGATAGACGCAGTTCCTTCGCCCAGAGGCTGGGGGTACCTTGGAGCTGGATGCTTCATGTGCCAACAGTGCAGCCATGGTCAGGAAGGCAAACAGGCCACATGGAGGTTCCCCTCAGCTCTGAGAGGCTAACACCTCTGACCCCCGAAACATTTTGCATCTTCCTCGTCTTCAAATCTCCAGTCCATCCACCATAGGCCAGAGAACACGGCAGGGGCTGGTGGAGGGGGTGGGTGCATGTGGCAGGGGGTGGGGGGGCAATTAGGAATCCACATTGGGAAGATTTCCCTGTAGAACATACTGCAGAAAGTTTAGCTTTTGTTCATCCACAGTTGCTGGCTTTAATTCACTGATGGGATATGGGTATCATTGGCTGGACTAGTATTTATTACCCATCCCTAATTGCCCAGAGGGCAGGTAAGTGTCAACCACATTGCTGTGGGTCTGGAGTCACATGTAGGCCAGACCAGATAAGGATGGCAGTTACCTTCCCTAAAGGACATCAGTGAACCAGATGGGTTTTTAGGACAATCTCAATGGATTCGTGGTCATCATTAAATTCTTATTTCCAGATTTTTAACTGAATTCTAATTCTCCCATCTGCCATGGCGGGATTCAAACCTGGTTCCCCAGAACATTAACCTGAGTCTCTGGATTGACAGTCTAGCAATGTGGATGATTCTTAACTGCCCTCTGTGCAATTCGGGATGGGCAATAAAAGCCGGCCTTGCCAGCGATACCCACAGTGCTGGCTGTTTGAGGAACGTTGTTGGATCAGAGATGATGAGTTGGAGTCTGAACTGAGCATTCTGCTGCACATCAGGGAGGGAGAGGAGCCTCGGGACTGACTTTCAGGAGATAGTCAGATTAATTCAATTAATTGCATTAAATTTGATCCATGGTCTGGGACAAGTGAGGCAAATATGGGCTTTGAGAGTTTAGCACTGGAGCAATTAGCCAATGGGTACATGGTTCTTACTCCTAGTGTAGACAAGGGTAATGACTGCTGGGAGGATGAACAAACTGACCACAGTACCATGGTCCAAAGCACCATTCAGTGGGAGCAATAAACAACAATGTACTAGGGGATGGCACAGTTAGGGGAACAGGTAGCTGTTCTCTGCTGCAAGGATAGAGAATCCCAAATGCTGGGTTGTCTACCTGATCAAAAGGTTCAGGATGTCTATTCCGAGCGGGAGAGCAACCTGAGAAGGGAAGTATCCAACATGTGCGCGCACACACACACACCCCCACACACACAGACACACACACAAACCCACGCACACACAGACCCACACTCACACTCACACATGCACACACACACACACTCACACACACACACCCACACACACAAACGCGTGCACGCGTGCACACACACACACAGTCCCCACACACACCCACACACACACACACTCACACCCACCCACCCACCCACACACACACACGCACGCACACACCCACACACACACGCACCCACATACACCCACACACACACCCACACACACACACACACACACACACAGACACACACACCCGCACACACATACACACACGCACAAACACACACTCACACCCACACACACACTCACACCCACACACATACACCCACACACACACAGACACACACACCCACACACAGACACACACAGACACAGACACACACACACACACCCACACACGCAGAGGAATTATCCAGGTGTTGTGGTCCATGTAGGTACCAATGGCATGGGTCAGCTTAGGAAAGAGGTTCTGCTGAGAGATTACAAGCAGCTCAGAGCTACATTAAAAACCAGTATCGTTCAGACGAATGGTCACTGGACCTGAAATGCTAACTCTGTGTCTCTCTCCACAGATGCTACCTGATCTGCTGAGTTTCTGCAGTCATTATTTCTGATTTCCAGCACCCTCAGTTCGTTGTATTTTTTTTAAGAGAGTTTAATGCGTCGCTCCAAGATAGGTGCGAGAAATGGGTTCAGATTCACTAGCACCAGCAGTGGGGAGAAAGAAATCTGTTCCACTGGGACAAACTTCATTTGAGCCTTGCTGGACCGGTCTCCTAGTGATTTGTATAACCTGGGTTGGAGATACAGCTTTAAACTAATTTGTGTTGAGGATGATTCAACTGAAGGAAAGTTTAAAAAATCAAGAAGAAACAAGAGAGCAAAGGTAGTGAAGGAATGAACGATAATTAAAGTGTGTCAGCAAGGCATAGGAAATACCTACAGAAAAGTGGAACAGAAAATAGAACCAAAATAAATAATAATGATAAGAGTTCAAAGCTTAATGCTCTTTATCTGAAGGCACACAACATTTGTAACAAGGTAGATGAGTTCACAACACAAAGAGATATAAAAGAATATGACTTGATAGATATCACAGAAACATGATAGAAGGTGACCAGGACTGGGGACTGAATATTAGACATTCTGGAAAATTAGATAAAAAAGCAAAAAGAGGGTGAAGTAGCTTTGTTAATAAAGGACAGTATGCGTATGGCAGTGAGTAGGTGCATTAGTAGTGATTTTAGGTGCGATAGATCTCGGTGTGGAATCAGTTTGGGCAGAAATGAGGAATACTAAGGGAAAGAACTCATGGGAGAAATCATCCCTGAGTCCCCACAAAGTTGACTCACTGTAGGACAAGGTATAAATCAGGAAATAATTGAGGAGTGTAAGAAAGGCACTGCAATCATCGTGAGGGACATTGCCTGGATAAATTAAATGGGGCAAAGGTAACATGAAGATGAATTTGTAGGGTGCATCAGAGATTGTTTCTTGCAGAAGTACTACTTGCACAGCCTGCCTGGCAGAGGGCTATTTTAGATCTAGGATAATGTGTAATGATTTAGAGTTAATAAGAGATCTCGTAGTTAAGGATCCCCTGGGAGCACTGACCGCAACATGATAAAATTTCAAATTCAGTTTGAGGAGGAAGCAAATCAGTTTGGTCACCTTAAATCAGGGCAAATTATGGAGATAGAAAGAAAGAGGCAGGTTCGGAAATGAATGAAGGGGAAGGTCAGTAGATGAACAGAAGCAGATATTTAATAACACTCAGCAAAATAATACTCCTGTCAAAAAGATGGACTTGAAAAGAGGGATGAACTGTCTGTGGGTAACAAAGGCAGTCAAGGAGAGTATTCAATCAAAAAATAAGGTGCACAAAGTGTTGAAAACTAAAAAGATTAGGTTTTTTTTTTAGGAACCAGCAACAGATGACCAAAAAGCTTATAAAATTGATTACAAGATTGGCAAGAAATATAAAAACAAACAGCAAGAGCTTCTATATAAAAAAGAGAGTGGCTAAAGAGAGTGTGGGAACCTTAGAGAATGTGACTGGGGAGTTGATAATGGGGAAATAGGGAAATGGTAGATAATTTAATTTGCACCAGTCTTCACAGAGGAAGTAGCATGAACATCTCAAAGATGCGAGATCAGTGAAGTGACAATGGGCAGAAAGGTTGTATAGCAGTCTCTATCAAGAGAAAAATTATTTGACAAACTAATGAGACTGAAGACAGTCAGGAGCTGATGGTTTCCATTCAAGGGTTTTAAAGGAAGATGCTGCAGAGATGGGGAGACATTGGTTGAAATAGCCCAGAACTCACTTGATTCCAGAAAAGTTCCAGCAGATTGGAAAACCATTAACGGACACCCCGGTCAGAAAGGGAGGAAGACAGAAAGCTGAAATTTATAAGCCAGTTTGTCTAACACCTGTTGTTGGGAAAATGCTAGAGTCCATTGTTAAGGTGGAGGTAGAAGTACATTTAAAAGAAAGTTTACCACAGTTTGATTGGTTTTGCAAAAGAGAAACC